ACATATACGCTCGATGCAAACTTACTCGCAATTTTCTTTATTTGAACGGAGTGCAGCGACCATTTTAGTGCAGCAGTCAGTATTTAATTTTGTCAGCCATATTGGTAGTTCCCCTAAGTTTAAAGGACAGTCATCGCCGTTACTACCAGTGATTAACATAGCTAAAAAAGACGTAGCAGAAGCAAGTAAGTGTAACTATTGTAATCGTTTATAATTTGGGATATCATGGAACAATACAAAAAAGTGGCGACAGTAAATGATATCGACATTTATATATACTTACATAGTTTCTACTTTTCAAGTTTTCATTATGTTCAACGATAACGTTTGACAACAATTATTCTCTTGCTACTATAATGCCGGACTTATTATCAAACGCACTTTAACATCATGAAAATCGTATATCAATCGTACAATACCATGCATCAATTAATTCAAAGACAAACAGGTGAACGTGATGTAACAATTGGACAATTGTCAACTGTGGTGGCGTACTTACTCGTAATACACGTGAAGACCACTAATGATTTTAACGTCATATTCGGACATCGACACTGCTAAAAAAAGAAATCAAATCTGTTGAATACGATAACAGAATTGATCAGTATCATCCGTTCTCTATCGGAAAATAAAGCAAAAAGTTAGATACTAGTAGTTTCTCATCTTTTGATTTAAAGATGCATGAACACCATGTATATTTATTTAATATTGTTGTTTGATACTCTAGAGAGAAATCGAATTATGATTTATCATGAAATAAAAACGTTTGCACGACATGTTAGACGCAAAATCAAAACTAGTAATAGGCATAGGCAGGGATTGTTATTGTAAGCACCAAATAACCATGCGTACCGCCAATTATCCATGTACAGAGGTTGTGCATTTATCTCTATGTACATGTATGCTATTTCAAACTACCTGATTTGGTTACATTATCGAACAGTGCATCCATGATACATCATGCAATATCAAATGACAGTATTAAAAATTATGTTCTCGTCCATATTGCATTTCCAAGTGAATAATTCAGTGTGGTGTACATTACTCAAAAACATAGTGCGCTTCGAAGTACCTGTACGTTTCTCTACGTAGTGGAGTAAAGTACACCCATGACATCTAACGACAATTTTTTATGGCGTTCGTTTTTATCGTAGAATAAATCACATTTACTGTTTTTATAAAATGATTTATACATTGAAACATGCGAATCATTGAATAAGTCGACCAACAGACACGCGTAAACAAATTCATGACATATCTATGAATGAATGCGCTAATGAGATAACGATGTTATACGTATCTGTTTTGTAATACATTCAAACATGCATGTCGCCATGATCTGAGAGGTCAGCTAATGACTTGAAGGTCATAACTTTTATTTATATCGGCAATATTTTCAAACGTATGCCAAGATTAGGGTCACACGTCACATCAAAAGAGTACTACAACGTCTAGAAACAATTCTAAAATTAGAAAAAAATTCCCAAATAAAACTATAATCTACTCCGCGTATGACATCTATGTGATTACCATGGAGACTCTTTCAGATTATATTCATATTAGAAAACAAATCCACTTGTTTACATACTAAAACTGTTATGCTTCATAACACATATTTGGGCGATAATCACAATACGTGCCATGTTCCATCGCCTAACCGATCTAAAAATCCCTGATATTGCCACTCATGCAGTGACGTCAAACTCGAAGTCAATTAGCCAAATTGTGATATTACTTAGGTGCGTGTCCATCATCTATATACCGTATAAATGACACAGTATATCAGTGGGACTACGAACACACCTACAACTCACATGTTATGTCAGGCTACTAATAAACCGTCGCACACACGTAATCTAAATCACTATTATTTCATGGACGTACTAGTTAGTTAGTTAGTTATGGAAGGCTACCTTCCATGGTTATATTAGTACGTCTATCGGTATGTGGACATGGCGGTACGTTGGGGACAAAGCGAAACATTCGTTTCTCTGGATTCTAGAAATAATGTACTGTTTTTGTTCGTTGACAGCTAACCGATTACAACCGCATTTCAGGCCCGGAGTCGTCCCAGGGTAGATACATAAATTCAAAACTACACACTGTAATTAAATAAAATGAATAAAACATCCTACCCGTTGATTCAGTTGGAGCGAGTCAAATTATCGTGCTGTGTTTCGTGTAATGTTGTTCGGATGACACCAAGAAGCAACAGAGTAAGAGTTGTCTTAGCTGAAACCCAACACCTACAAGGCCGTCTAACCACAGATCTGACCACGGGATGTACACGTCACGGCCGAGCACAGTAGCAAATATATATTGTCTTTGAACTGCTCTACAGAATGTTAAGCAAAAACCCAAAGAACATTCTTTCTAAAAGGTCATGGTACCCATTAACTTG